TGTAGGTTAATGACCCGCTTTTCTCATGCATGAGGGCGCGGGATCGAAACCTAGTAAGTGCTAATGTGTTTTTTTCTGTGTTATATGCACTTTCTAAGAGTATTTAGAGAGAACATCATAATATAAGAAATGTAACTGATTCCTAATTTAACTCTTTATAAATATAGAATGGAAATAAAACTAATATTTTTTAGATCTACTACGCGGTTAATTTTTGTGAAAAAACTATATACTTACTCCCGACATTTCAGTTACTTTTCAGCAACCGTGATCACGGACAGACGAGATGTGAATGTATGTTAGTTGGTCTTGTTATTTATCATTAGATTGACTTTATTGAACTTGTGTACTGACTATTGAAAAATTCAGAATCTTATTGAAGCAAAATGCGAATAACGAAAATTTCATGAAGACATGACTTCATTTGTTTAGTTATATTTTTATTATAAATTTCCATATAAATCATGAAATAATTAAGTTTTTGTAAAATAAATATGATTGAAATCAAATAGTGTAAACATGTACACATTTATTTAAAGTTATAAGTGGTAAAAGGCTTATAATTTTTTTGGATGAAGTAATTATCTTAAATGGCAAGTACATATACACCCTAAAACATTGAGAAATGTACACAAATGTATTGTGTACAGAATACGGATTGTGTACACAACACTGATGTGTACATATTACTGAGTGATATAACAGAGGAATATGGTGACCATGCGATAAAATAATTTGAGGATTCTCTACATATATACTTGAAAATATGGTTTCACTAATTTGTGTAAAAGTTTTATACAAAAATAACAGAATGAATTAAAATTAAATTAGGTTTATAAAATTTGTTTAATTATCCTAAATTCATGACAGAAGCCATTTGTATCAAAACATGTGTCACAGATAATAAATAGAACGACTGTTTTGTTGCGGTTTTTTAGTCATCATGAATTTCTTTTTTAAATTAATACACAGATCAGGAAAAAAGGTTTTATATTTAATATCAATAATGTTATTTTTATATCCAACTTATTTAAAATATTATAGTTTATATTTATATATTTTAATAATAATAAAATTTTATCACTTGTCCGTTATATTTGTAAATGATGTTTAACTGAGTAATAAAGAGATTGGCTTACAACTGACGCTATCGGTTTGGTCAAATAACGCATCGATTAAATCACTCTATCAAATATGTTTGGTGTTCGATGTTTTGTGTAATAATAACACATTTATAAAGAACCTGATTTTATTAATATGTATATGTATTTCATTCAAATTTTATCAATAGCAAAGTTTTCTATCAGTATTACGGAAGATTTTGTAATAACTTTGGTATAATTTAAATTGTAATAATAATTCACTGATTTTAGAATTATTACGACTTTTTCCATTCATATAAATTGACTGTCATATTATGGATGCGTTCATCCATTATCAAGTCAGTGGTGGCCTAGTGGTTAAAAGGCCCGCCTCTCGTGCATGCGGGCGCGGGTTCGATCCTGGCAAGTACCAATGTGATTTTTCCGAATCATATGTACTTTCTAAGAGTATTTAGATACAGCTGACTGACGGTGAAGGAAAACTGGAAGGAAGGAAACCTGGACTTATAATATCAAATTATAAGTTTGAAATCACCAACACGTCTTAAGCAAGCGTAGTGAATAATGCTCAAACCTTCTCCATATGAGAAGAGGCCTTCGTTCATCAGTGGGCTTCTGATAGGCTAATGACAGATGGGTGGATATTTGAATTAAATTAATTGTCATATTATTGATGAATTCAGGTTAAAATAAAAGTAATATATTCTCCGAATAAACTTTTATTGGACAAACGTTAACATAGAACGAAGCCCTTAAGGTACATCAACTTTACTAAAATACAATTAGCCCATACATATATAGTAATTACTTATTAGATGAACAGTTACATCGCCAACTTATAACTACATATACAGATAGTAAAAATAACATTTAATAAATTCAAAGTCTTATTCGAAATGACGTATCTGCAACAGAATCTGTGGCCGTCGTATTTAATTTAAAAAAGCATATTCAATATGGTTTCCATTCGCGTTGTAGATATGGATTTGGAATAAGACTTATTCTATTCTAGAAGGTGACATTACAAGAGCTACTTGTACGTAATTCAGAGCCATAATTTCCCAGCGAAATTGTCCGTATGTGGTTTCGAAATAATTCAGCTAGCCTATACAGAAACAAATTAGGAACTAATACCGCCAAAGTACAATGACTTCACTGTGTGAAGACGGAAATTAAAATGGTGATAGTGTAATTTGGATATGAGAGATTGTCGTTAACAGTAGCCAGTAGTCTAGGCCTCATCCGTGACGCCATCTATGGACAGAAATGGAGAAATTAATTACGAAACACCAACATCAAACACATTAATATTAATATATACAAATTTATATACAAATCCATCTAAATATCACTGAAAAGAAATATTATACATAAAGAAATTTAAATTAAAACCTACACACAAGCAAATACACCCTAAGTACGAGATCCAATAGCTAAAGTCTAAACTAAGTACGTACAGTTCAAAAGTTATCTACTCGTATTAATCTACTTCGTTAAACCACCTATAAATAACCAAAAAAGTGACAGTGTTCGACCATGCAACTTACATTAATCTGGCCTTCGTTAAACAATGGCTTTCATTAAAAGGTAGTCTGTATGAAAAATATGTTTTAAACACGTACCTACCCTGAAATTTCAATTTGAATATAAATCCACAAATTATATTTCGCATCTACAGGATTTTAAATTATGGTAAGTAATAAAATTTAAATTGTGAGCTCGTATCACGTGTAATACAGAAAAATACATATATATTTAAATAATTTAACATATTATGTCCCACTGTAATCTTTATGTATGGCTGGACTAAATATAAGTCCAGTTTTATTTGTTTCAGTAATTGCTTCCACCGTTTTTCTGAAATGATTTGAGTCATAAAAATGAGCTTAAATGATGAGAGGACCTACATTGACATAATAATATATTTTTTAATTTATATAAAACATGAAAATTAAACCTCAAAATATTTCAAATTAGTCAAGTTATTTAGATCAGAATTTATCTGTTTAAAACGGGCTCAGCACACATTCTTACCGTTACACAATGCTGGGAATTCTTTGTGAAACCTTTCGGGTTTTGTTTAAAAACCTACTTATTTTATAAGCTTTTAATATCTGCTTAAAATCCCCGGTTTGTATGAAAGAATTAATTACGACGGAGTTTTGTGAAGTCTTGTGGGTGGCTACTGATTAACTTAATGAACATTGGTACGAAAAAGTTGTTTTGTCTTAAAGTACCTACTGTGACGTATTCACGAAGGGTTTTTCAAAGTTCCTAATAAGTTATAATTAATATGTTTTCTGTCACAGAATTATGTTAACAATTTAATTTATATTATATATTTTTTTTATTAATATTAACCAAATTTTTACGAAAACAAATAGATCGTCATTTGTTTTTCAAATACTTTATTTAATTTAAACGATTTTTTGTTTCATATATAGTAATTTAATATCAAAATTAAATAAGTTATTGAAATCGTAACATTTTTTTACACGAATAATATCAACAGATAAGGAATAACAGAATCTTTTTTCCGCTTCTCAGAGTTTAGTAAGCGAACAGGTGTGATTTCGGCAAAACGTAAGTAAGGATTTACTAAGGGTTGACACTATATTAAATATTTAGGCCTAATATAACTAAAAAAAATTACATTATAAGCTTTAAAATATATAAATTCCTTTCCCTACAACGTAATGCACTCGGCACCTTCACTGTGAATACATTGAATGATGAGTTATTTTGTCTCATATAAGAAATTTCATATGGTAAAACAATACAATCAAAGATTGCAAATACGTTCAAATATTATGATTTTCAATATAATTTCTATTTAATAAGTAAAATACTAAGCCCTAAGGATATTTCTTCACGTCGCTAGTCCAGAGTCCTCTCGTTAAATACGTTTCTAATACATATAAACTTGCCTTTTCACTGGAAGGCTGGCCGTTCCGCATCAATGGAGACGAGTCTCATAATACGTTGGGTACATATTATTTTTAGATCAGTTTGTTTTCGGTTATATGAAGTTAATATTATCGGATGTGTTATGTTTATTTGATAAAATCTATGTCTCTATATAATTGGAATTCGTGTTGAGTAATTTTTGTATTTTTTTGAGGATATTTTGATTAATTAATCGATATATTTTTGACTGAATTTAATAAGCTACATTGGTGATACTGTATATATACAAAGAAGATATGGATTATAATTAAATTAATAATAATATTTACATGTATTCTCGGCATTTTGAGAACAATTTAGTACATTAAATGATTCTTAGTAATAAATTGTTTTATGTTTCAAAAGTTGGAAATACAACCGTTTAATAAATTAACAAGGAAAGCAGAAGTATGTATTATAAGAATTTATATTTGAGCCTTTTAATCATAAAGGATGAACAATATTGTTTTCTTTTCCTTAGGTATATTACAAAAGCTTAGTTTTGAAATTGTAGTTTTCTTTAGGATTTCAATACATTTACAATAGTTTTTTTTGCCGAAAGACTAATGGAAAGTGAGGGCCATAATCTTATAGGCAGATGTAATTTAAGATATTTTATAGAGGAACAAAAGGAAAGAAGTTTAAGGTAAAAGGATTGAATCATGAACAAAGCATTCACAATAAGGCTTTCTATGCCTTTCAAGCATTGAAAGAAATGCATTTGTAATACCTACTTCAAGATTTTATTCTTGAAATACAATCGCTGAAAAGAGGTTGTATACCAAACTTCTTATTCCGCTGTAATGTAAAAATTTTAATATATTTTGCAATACCCGCTAATGCTTACACACAACTAACACCGACTATTCTAACAAAGACCAGGAAGGAAGATTTCTAGAAGATTCTATGGAACAGGTGTGATAGAATGCTAGTTGTGCAACACAGGTCTAGTTATACTGGCTGGAGGTTACCGTTCTCCTCAATCAGGTCGTTCTGCGTTGACCTCTTGCCCCACATCCCTCTTAAATTGGTCCAGCCGGGTTCCCGCTTCCAGTAATACGATCCTGTTGTATCATATGTGTTACTTCTAAACCTATAAGACCTTGGATGAACCACCAACCGTTGCTAATAAATTTAAAAATAGAACACGTCCTTAGACTCTCTAAGACTAGAATGTGTTTCGAAATAATTTCGTTCTGAAAATGTTTTGAAACTGAATTTGATTAAATTCTATATCTATGTTGTTAAATTGAGGTAAAAGTAATTATAATTAAAGAATAATTGTATCAGAATTACAGATATTTCTTAAATTTAATAAATCAGATGTATGATAAAGTTAATGAGACGACGATCATATCGAATAATTTGATTTCAACAGACGACTGCGAAGACTTTTAATAATGGATCTATTCCGTGATATTAATTTATTCTTTAAATATTTTAATGAATTATATATAATTTAATGTTTCCAGATTAATAAAATATAATAATGTTTAATATTTTTTATAGTATAAATAATAAGCAACGAAGAATTTAATACAAAAAAAATATTTTTTTTATCAACTGCCTGTCAGTTCACGAATGTAGGTAGGTACTTAGAATCTTCAGTCTTAATTATATGAGTACATATAAATGCTTTAAATATTAAATGAATTGTTCAATGAATGAATTTAAATGAATAATTCAGTTTATTTCAAACATATGCGTATCAAAACAGAATTTTACTATTTTAATTTCCAATAATGCTTAACTGTCATTCCACCAGTTGACAGATGGAAATGAAGTTTTAGGCTCTGAGCACAATGTGTCATTAACTTATACAGCCAATATTATTGAACTAATTATTCTTCAAAACATTTGTATTAGAATCGTGGCTCGTGATTTAATTATAAGTTAATTGGCTATCAATCAAGTGTATAGCATCAATCAGTAGGAAATAAACGATAGATTGTTATTCTAATACATATAACTATTTATAAATATAATTACTTAAATAAGATCTTGTGACAACAAAGAACCAATTGTATTACTATATTTTTATACTACAAATATGTATGAAAATCAATAAATTATAAGCGTGAGAGACTTTCGTTTGAAATACGTAACTTTTCAACAATAAATAAAGTTATTTTTGAGATTGTCAATGAATATATTTGTATTGTCTATGGACATTCGTTATGTTTGTCTATGGTTAAGCAGTCAGAGTGAATATTATAATTACCGCTATTGTATTGCCCCTGCTTCACTGGTCTCTTGCCCCAAGCACCGTGTAAGGAAGACCAGGCTTTCTTCTCTGGAGTTTCCATCATGTCACCATCTAACTATTAAAGCAACAAATTATGTTAATTAATGGATGAAAAGTAATATTATTCGGATTATTACGCGTATTTTATAATATTTTAAACTACATACTACCAACGATTGATGCAAAATAGTATGTAGTTTTAAAGTAAAAAAATAAGTGAAGTAATCCGAATATTAGTTTCATTTAAATGAATACTAGCGAAAGTCAGATCTCATTAATGGATAGAACATTTGTATTGAAACGTTTAAAAGAATAACGTACCTAATATTTAATATAATCTAAAATGTATGATTTATACTTCTTTTTAAAACTTATCTGGTCGTATAAATAACGTTTTAAAGATGAGTTATAGCTGGCCGAGTAATATTCTCTGCAATATATCTTCAGACTGTATGCGTCGGTGATTGCAATACAGTTTTTAATACCGATACGTAATTAAACTCCGTATAATAAAAAATCATATATATTACATTTAAGACTAAATTATATGGAGCATTACATATTTAAATAGGTGATTATATTTTTATTATTTCAATAAGGTTTCACTTGAAGGTCTTAAATAAGGAATAATTTATTTGTATTTAATTTACTTTTTCGATTGACTGACTTATCATTATTCATACTTGATACTTTTCGTTTTGTTAAAAATAGTATAATTGTATATGAGAATTTTATAGGGTTTTAAATCGAGGATATCAAGGATCAAATATGTTAAATATTCTTTACTTTAATATAATCTCGTTCTCTAATTACCTGTGAAGGCATGAGATGTTCGTATACGACTTCATAGTCTTCGTAATCGGGTTCAGGGCCGCTGCGTTTGCCCCACGAGCCGTGGAAATTGGACCATTTTTCCTATAAATTATATATAAATTACAAAAAAAGAAACTGTACTGTCCAGAAATCACATTAATTCCTAGCTCTAGTAGGTTCTTTTCAAATTTGGTTAGGTAGAGAGAGGAGCTTGGACAGTGGAGGTGAGCGTATAACGCGCGTTAGAGGGGCCTCTTAAGCCTACACCTGGGTCGTAAGTCCCAGGCACTGTTGAAGCTCCTCTCCATACAAAAGTGGACTCGACACCCGCACCGTGAATCCACGGAATGCTGAGAGGTTCCGTCCATCGTATAAGTGATTTATATATTATATACTATACGTACTGGTGCACGCTTGCCCCAAGCAGAGCTCATGTCCTGCCAGCCCCGTTTTCCCCAAGCAGAGTTCAGGTCTTGCCAGCCCCTCTTTCCCCATGGAGTCTGTGAAAGGTCCCTCCAAGCGCGTTTGCCCCACGCCGTGTTCAAGTCTTGCCAGCCCCGCTTTCCCCAGGCGGAATTCAAATCTTGCCATCCGCGCTTTCCCCAGGCGGAATTCAGATCTTGCCAGCCCCGTTTTCCCCAGGCGGAGTTAAGGTCCTGCCAGCCCCGTTTCCCCCAAGCCGAGCTCATGTCCTGCCAGCCCCGTTTCCCCCACCCGCCACCTCCGTGTAAACTGGCCCACGCTCGTTTTCCTTCCTCCGTTAATTCAATGTCCGATTCATCCTTAAACAAAAAACATTTCATTGACATCAAACTTTGAATGACTTGTATTTCTGAATGAGAATTAATGAATTAAACAATTAAATGAAGAAATATTATCGGATTACTACGCGTATTTTCTTATTTTTAAAAACTACATACTGTCTACAGACATTCACATCTCGTCTGCCCGTTATTACGGGTGCTGAAAAGTAACCAAAGACGTCGGGAGTATGTACTTTGTATTAGTTTCTTTTAAATGAATACTTAGAGTCTTAGATTTCATTATGAATTAAACAATTTCCTGAACTAACTGATCTAAGCAGCAAACTCTTCGTCATTAACTTTCTTCTATTGGGCTGACATTTTCTATTCCTATACATAATTCATATCAGGGTCATTCTTAATATAAACATTAAGCCAATTTCATTCTAAGTCACATTTTCTTCGTGTAATCCTAAGGATTATGTTTTGGCTGGATCATTGTATCCACTGGATTGGTTTGAATTGGTTTTGTTGGAGAATTTTTGGTTCACATGATAGATAAAGGAATATACGATTGGAATGTTAATTGTGCCGCGGTTTCTTTGGCAGCATCTAATTAATTCTGAATAGAATGTTTTAGTTGCCTTAATTAGTTGTTACATTCTTGTTTCTATACAAGCCTATACAAGTGGAGTGAAAATAAAACTATTTTAAAGGCTTTAAAGATCTGCTGAACAATTTGTTTGAAAACATTTTTATTACAATAAGCTACTCACATTGGAAGCATTTCCTAGGCTTCAGTGGAAAACCTTTGTGAGAAACGACTTCATAACTATTTGTTGAAGAAAAATAAAATGACTACTTCTGTTGTAGAGGTGTAATTGAAATGAAAAAGGAAACAAAAGATGCTTGGAGTTTTCATTAAACTTTAAGCAAAACAAACGATTTAATTATTAATAAAGAATAATAAAAATGATTTAATAGTTTATATATAAAAATGTATGACATAAATTGTTTTTTTCTATCGATCCTGCCGATAATGCCGGTAGAAGAAACTTTCTTTATCTTTATAAAGATATTCATAATTTTTTAATATAATATTAGTATTACGATAAAGTTTTAAGAGTATCCTAATGTATTGTCTGGCCGATGTTGAAAACAAATATATTTGTGACTTAATAAATTATGTATATACCGTCAAGCCGGGTACTATCCCATTAGGGATAAAGTTAACAAAGGGAATTTGTTTAGAAATACAAATATATAAATTTGGATTTTACAATAACCAAAATAATATGTTCCATAGACAATACATATACGCTTTCTTTTTTTCTTAATCTGAAGCTGTATTAATTTAAAAAAAATATGCATAATAAGACGGGTATAATTAAAAAAGTAAAAATGTAGAGTATAAAATAAAAGTCAAGATAAATTATATTTGAAAAACAATTATGTGAATGGCAATATTTTCCCGCTATAAAGATGGCACTTTTTTTTATAGAACAAACGTTGTTTTACCATTAGAGCACCGTCAGTCAGCTTGTTTGTTATGCAGATTATGAAATGAATTTAATTTTGCTAATGGAAATTTAAATGGTGTAGATCTGTTATGCTAGATACCTATTAATGTCCACCTTTATCATAATATTGCAATGATTGAAACTATTTTTAATTTAAATTTAATTACTTCTATTTATATTCAGCCATAATTGAAAATATTAGAAGAATTACATCCAAAAAGGTTACATATGTGTATTGGCAATACGTCCAAAAAGGTTACATATGTTTGCATTTATATAAAAAATATGTCAATAAAGAAAGAAATCACACTTCATTGCCCACTAATATGTTGAAATAAACTATTATTGAATTGCATCATATATAAAGATTTAATTCAAATAAATCTCTGTTAAATACTTCCACGTGTCATTATGGTTATAATCAAATGTTCACACGTGTATCTTAAATTTAGACTGAATTATACGGAGTCTCTTTAAAATGTCACAGAACAATGATTAACAGATTAACAAAGATATTGACGTGTTTTATTTTCGACGAGTGTGATTTTAATCACAGCATTATCACGTCCTCTGAAAGAGTTTTTATATAGTCTATGGAAATATATTTAAATTCAATCTATCTCTATTATATTATAATAAGAAACTATAATTACATACATCCTTCAATAGCTATTAATAAAAATATCTTTAAATAATATTTTTTATTTTCATTTATAACAAAAATAAATCAATACGACAAATTGATTTCTTTTCATTGATATGTATATAGATTAAAAAGATATTTGTCTCAGTTTCTGTTCCGTTATGAATAATCAATTATAAACATGACATATAAAACCTTATTAGAACGCAAAAATAGACTAAAATTTAAATCGATTAGACAAGACAAAGTTTAAAAAATTAATAAAGTATACGATTTTTTCCTTCTAAGCTAATCGAAAGTCATTTTAATATATCTATATAATTTCTAGGTAATCATTAATTTAATTCCTTTTATTAATTAACACAATACACATTGAATTTGACAGAACAATTTGATGTTGTAATGCAGCCTGGTGGAGACAGTGATTGTATCTCAGCAATTATAATCTTTTGTGCTAACTCGTGTTGTTCCGACAACTATTATACAAACTAATTAACAATCATTACGAATAGTATTATATATAATGTAACCTGAATTATATTTATAACTCTTTTCCCTAATAATTGAGTAGAAAACTAAAGCTAAAATTCTTTGGAGTAAAACTATTACGAGAGGTTTTTTATAGAAAAACAAGAAGACCCGGCGAACTTCGTATCGCCCTATAATCAACAAATATCTGTTACGTTTTTTCGTGTTTTGAAGTGCGACAGAATGATTGACATATTACATAGTTAGTTGTCAAATCTAATGTCAAAAAAAGTTTGTATCAACAACTACTAATAAATTAAAAATTATTAAAAAAACATTGTCCAGCGGACAAAATTGTGAATCTAAACCATTCCCAGATCCTCTTGAACACACACAAAAAAATTCATCAAAATCGGTACAGTCGTTTGAGACAAGTTCAGTGACATACACACTCACAGAAGAATTGTATATATACAAAGATATTACTTAATAAAATTTCATAATCATTGGTTCATTGCTTACAATGTATGACTGACATCATCTGTCAAAAAACATTAATCAATCATAGTCTTTATCGTTCATTCATTCATTCATACATTCATTCGGTCATACGTTCGTTTTAAATACCTTTGTTTGTTCGCGAGGCGCGTCGGCGGCCACAGCAGCCTTAGCGACTGCTAATGCTGCAAGCGCGGCACATAGTGCTGCTAAGTAGCAACGCATCCTGAAACAAAATATACATATAATTAATATATAACGTGGTAATTGTTTTTTTTATGGGAAAAGGGACCAACCGAACAGACGGCCTACTTCATGGAGGTAGTACTATCGCCATAGACATAAGCAAAATAGTTTTGCGGATGTGTTGCTATACTTGATTAGGGAAAAGGGGGGGAAAAGGTGGGAAAGGGAGGAAAAGGAAAAGGCAAAGATTGATATTTTACTATCATTATTATGTTGTAGCTATAGTTAATGTCTTTTTTTTATATTTACAAAATATATTTAAATAAATTTTGTCATATAATTTATAACATAAAAGGGAATGAAAATAATTAAATTAACGTGTGACTTCTTTGTAATATAAAACATACGTGATTTTATTGATGGAAATCCGAATACCAACTGATTAATGAGAACAAAGCTTTATTTGTTGTAAATACGAAATTGTGGTTTAATTTTATATATAAATATATTTGTATAGTGAATGAGGAAAATGAATACAACATTTAAATGATTAAAATCTATTTCAATTTATCTATTAACAATATTGTATGATTGGAGTGTGTAAGAGATATAGTAATAATTTCATTTAATAAATATTTTATTTATTAAAAATGTCAGTGGTGGCCTAGTGGTTAAAAGGCCCGCCTCTCATGCATGAGGGCGCGGGTTCGATCCTGGCAAGTACCAATGTGACTTTTCCGAGTCATATGTACTTTATAAGAGTATTTAGACATCACTGATTAATGCATTCCCAAAAAGGGTTGATGTCAGGCAGGCGGCTGGTCGTAAAAACAATTAGCCAAAACTAATCACAGCATGTAAAGCAGACCCTGGCTAAAGCTGGTAAATTGCCAGGAAGAACAAGTTTAGAATTTTATATATTTAAATGAAACTAATACTTTTCGGATATACTACGCTGTTAATTTTTGATTATAAACTACATACTCCCGACGATTGGGCTACTTTTCAGCAACCATAATCACGGGCAGACGAGATGTGAATGTTGAAAGAATGATTTTATTTTCTTACAGAAGAGCAAGATTTTAATTTTAAAGAAAAGATAAGATAAGAAAAGGAATAAAAGATTTTTAAGATAACCCTAATCTTAACTCGGTTATTTAGTTTTACGATGACGTCTTATTCTCTCATCCTTTTGTTTTATGTGACTTCAAAGTCGAATTAAGTAAACATATACATACGAGTACATATATACATTTTTATTTTAAATTCGCCATTTGTTAATTGATTAAATGTTACCGATTTATAATAATCAATTATAAAGAGATCTAAACTTAAAATAGTATTAAAAAAACTAATATTATTCTGATTACTACGTATATTTTATTAATTTAAACTACATACTCCGACGTTTCGGTTACTTTTCAGCAACCGTGATTACGGGCAGACGAAACGTCTAGAGTATGTAGTTTTCACAATAATAACGCTTAGTAATCCGGATAATATTAGTTTCATTTAAATGAATACTCGCGAAAGTCTTATAACCCATAATATTAATAGTTATTTTTTGCTAGCTTGAACTTATAATGGCATAGGTCATGTAGGTCAATCAATATCTATTTACAGGACACTCTTTGATGCGGTAGGGCTTAGCCCATAATGGCGTCTTAGACCATTATTATACCTCTCACGTGCTCTACGCTTGTTCTATATTTACTCTGTATTTTATACTTGTTTAATTATCAAAGAAATTTAAATTTAAATGTCAGTGACGTACATAAGTTCAATTTTCTATGACCACATAATTCTGCTATATTTATTTTTAACATATATTTTTTTAAACATGACATGACAATATTTTATCTATATTTTTTATCTGTGCTTAATGTTATGTTTTTTTTTTATTGAGATTAAAAATATATTACGAGCCAGTTATAAATTATTCAATATAGTAATTAAGATTGAAAAATAATTGTATTTTATTTCTATTAATACTCTTTTTATTAGAATAACTAAAATTTCGAGTCATTTCCAGCACTTTTTTATTATTAGTAGTTCAGAATGTCACATTTGTCATACAAAAACGATTCGCAATAAAGATATAATTAAATTACTACCAATGCGTCTCGGTTAAACATTCTATCAACCAGGAAGCGAAGATTAATGTTAAAATTTAAGTTAAACACAAATTCTCAATCTATAATCAGTTAAATTAATCGCGGTTACTTTGACATTTAACTGGTGTAGTTAAATATAACTTCGTTTTGGTTTAGTTGTGAGTTAGCGGCGTGGTTTGTGTCGGCGTAGCTGTGGCCCGTCACAAGCAACTTTGAGGATTAAATGTTTCATTTGTTGAGATAATAACTATATGCTTGTGTGATATTTAAAAGGTTTATTTAATTTTTGATTGAATTTATTTAGTGTATGACATTTATCGGCTTGTTTTGGGCTAGTCTCTTGCTATTTACAAAATACAATAGTAGAATACGGGAACATTTATTCTCATTGTTAATATTAAAAATTAATATTTTATTATGGTTAATAAAATTATATGAAATAATACTATGAAAACAGTTTTTTTTTCTCAAGCGTTTATCATTATTTTTAATAAAATACGAATAAGAATATGTCAAAATGATTTAAACCAAAAAAGACTAAGGTTAAAAATTAAGTTTTATAATAAACTTTCTTAATAGCGAAGAATATACAATATGTTCTAGATTATAAACAAAAAATATATAAGACATTACAAATGATTTTTCTTTTTTCATTATAAACAACTCAAGCTTCTGATGTCAAACAGAGTCGAGGTAATTCTTAAACCGATTACTTTTAAAACATCAAGACAATTATTTTGTATCCATAAATATGAAAAACGTAATATCTTATATATAAAATTCGCGGTGTTAGACAGAGAACTCCTCCGAAACGGCTGGACCGATTTTTATGAAAATTTGTTAGCATATTGAGTAGGTCTGAGAATCGGCCTACATCTATTTTTCATACAGCTAAGTCATAAGGATTGTTCACCCTTAATTTTTTTAGGACGTAATTATTTGTTTTTATTTTTTTACATACAACCCAAAATTTTTACTCTATTTTTTATATGGCAAAACAACGTTTGCAGCTAGTCTTTATATAATTTTAAACATACAAACTATGTACATTCATTGTTATCATTCCATTACAACTATTTGTTCAATAGATTTTAGATACGCGTCAAATGAAATTGGCAAAATTATTTGAAATCATCAAATGTTTCATAAGCCGTACGAATGGGCCGTGTTATTTAGGCAGAGGTATTTGCATAATTGAATATGTACCAGCTTGCTATTTCACTGTTTGCTGTATCGACGATATCTGTAATAAATATCCAGCATTTAATATGATTAGTTTACCTTTCCATTGTAATAAATGGGTTCGTTTTACTAATAATATTCTTTCATTTAACTCCCATACATATTTTCGTTTTATAATTGACTAGCTTTCCGCTCTCAGCTTCGCCCGCGTAGAGTTCGGTTATATCGCGTTTCCAAGAGAATATTTCAAAAGTCTGGGATAAAAACTATCCTATGTTCACTCTCAAGGTCAACTTTATCTTTGTACCAAATTTCATTAAAATTAATACAGTGGTTTAGGCGTGAAAGCGTAACAGACAGACGGAGTTACTTTCGCATTAATAATTAATAATATGTAGTAGAGATGATGATGATGATGATCGGATATTAATATAGTATTAATATAATTTAATGTAATTAAAAATCTTCATTTAAATTATCAAGTGAACCACATTTTAACTGTAGTTGAAGGTAGCTGAAGGCGTTGATAACTCAGGAGATCAAACAATTACGAGGTAACTTGCGTAATAAATGGGAATCTTTAGTTCTGTTACACGTAGCTGGGAATCAATTAATTTCTTTGCTTGAAACTTATTCACTAAGTGTGTTACTAGCTTTATATGTTGTAAATATAATTAGTGGAACTTGTAATAAGTTTTAGAGACAATAAGACGATTATCAGTAGTTCTGAAGTTTTTAAAATGAGTTTTAAATATAGCAGAAAGTGACGATTAAGTTAGAACTATATGAAGTCTTATATTACAATTTACTTTCATTCACAATGATTGGAACTAATATTTTAAATTGATTTTATAGCTAAAAAGTAATATTTTAGTAAATGAAACTACTATTTTTCGGATTATTATTAGTTTCATTTAAATGAATACTCGCAAAAGTTAGATCTCATTCATATTTTGCTTTTGCTTGTTAAGTAAGGAAAAATATTAAATTAATTACCATATTTATAAACTAGTACTTTTTTATATACTCTTTTTACTAATATTTCTATCTGTAATGTCTTTATATTAATATACTTCAGTAATAAATATGAATTAAAATTAATATATTAATTTAATTATAATAATAATAAAAAAGGAACTTTTTAATTGAATCGCTTTAAGCATAAATATTTAGAGGCTGTTTAAAACGAGACGGGTGCGAATGAATGGCGAATTATACATTCAACCTCCACTTTATTAAGCTATCGGGCTGAGTTGCCATGATATTTCATCTTGAAATAACAAAACAATAATAATTTTACATAATCATAGAATTTATTTCATTTTTATATTAAATATTCAATTAATAAGACACAAACGAAGTTAAAATATAGATTTGATGATCCTAACATGTGGTAGTTTTACGAGGGCTTGTCATTTGTGACACATGTCAAAGATCGTGTTGAGATGCTCGTAAAAATGAAATGAAACATTGATTATCCACTATAGTGGTTTCATGCAAGTTTATATTACTTATATTTGAAATAATACAATAATATGGCCAACATTTTAATAAAGTTATACTAAATATTCTTGAGAAGCATTATTTTATTTCGTCTGCTCTAATGTTATGTTTAGGTTACTATAAAGTTTGACAAACAGATACATTTACATATCGTCATCAGCCTATCAGAGCCCACTACTGAGCAAAGGCCTCTTCTCATTTTATACATATACAAAAAATAATCTTTAGTTTTACATATAT